CCCTAGTGAAAAATTTCATGTGGGTCTTGGTGGAATGCTGTCCTTTCCCAAATCCTATTGGATGTTTATATGAAAATATATGAAGATCGTATGAAAATGTAGAATGTATTATTTTATAGTTCATATTCTTTTGTAGGCAATGCATGCACCTGACAATATGTGGAAACCTATTTGTTCCAGAATGGGAACTTGAATATAATTTTAATCCTGTGCATGCTGAGAATAGTAAGAGAAAACATCCAATATGGACAACTTTGGGAGGGGACAACATTCCATCACATGTTGACCCATGCATTTTTAATGAAGATAGTGCAGGAAAAACTATTCATGATTTATATTTAAGAAATCCAGATTTGTTCATTGCTGTAGAACTACTTAATCAATTCTGTCACTGGGAAAAAATTTTGTTTGAAAATGACACATCTAGTCTCGTTAAAAAGTGGATAAATGATGGTGTTGATGTAACAAACTTTTTTTTACACATTCTAAAAGTAACTTTGGGGGTTGTAATTACAACTTTTTGTTTCGTCCTCAAAGATTTTTTTTCCAAAATGCACCAGTTTATAAACAGTTTAAAGAATTTATTTGCTCAGAATTGTATGAAAGAATAGTAAATGGATCCTTGTCAGTAGTTGGTTAAATTGGAGAATGTGAGCTTCCACATATTATTATACCATTAACTGTAGAACCAATAAAACCAAGACACTGTCATGATGATCGGTATATTAATCTTTGGACAAAAGACATGCCTTTTTAGTTGGAAAATTTAAAACGTACCCAGGATGGTTGAAAAGGATATAAAATGATATCCTTTGATGAAAAATCAGGATATGATCATGTTAACTTATGTTAAAATTCTAGGAAATATTTTGGAATACAGTTTGGAGGTTGGGTTCTTACATACGACACATTACCATTTGGTTGGAAAGCATCTCCATACATTTATCAAACCATAGGTATGCAAGTAACAAATAATCTATGAGGTAAAAATATTTATAACATACAGTACATAGATGATAGACAAGCAATTGAATCTGCAAAGGTTAAGATAACAGAAGTTGCATATGTTTTACTTGAATTACTGACAAAGTTAGGATATACTCTCTCCTGGAAGAAAATTCAATTTGTACCATCTCAGGTGGTTAGATATTTGGGTTATTTTATTGATTCTTCTAAGATGACATTTTCCTTACCAGATGAGAAAAAGATGTCATTTTCAAAATTAAGAGAATCTATATTGTTATCAAGATGTGTTGATATTAGGACTTTACAAAGGTTTGCTGGAAAGTGTATTTCATTTTGCTTAGTTGTTCTAGCTGCTAAACTGTATTATAGAGACGTTAATAGAGCGATTTCTTATGACAAGAAGAATTCTCAAATGATTAAAATTGAAAATTCTCTGAAACATAGTTAGAACACTGGAGGTTTATAGACACTTGGGGGGTTGTCTGACTTGGAGATTAGAAACTCATAAACAAATAATTTTGGCGATTGATTCATCAGGGTTTAAATATGGTGGAAAAATTTTGTCTGGTGAACTTGAAGGTTTGATTTTAAGTGATTTTTGGTGTAATGATGACAGTAGACCGATTCATCTGAAGGAAGCTGAAGCAGTGTATAATGTATTATATAGTTGCAAAGATAATATTAAGAATTCAAGGGTAGATGTATTGTGTGATAATATGGCTGTTATCAAAACATGGACAAATCAAGGAGGAAAAGATAAACAGCTCACTGACATTATGAAGCAGTTATTTCAATTTGTTTATGAATATAACATTTCACTAAATTTACAGTATGTTCAATCAAAACTGAATGTGGCAGATGAACCTTCCAGGTCAATTTCTTTGTCAGATTGCATGTTGAGTGAGACATATTGGGCTTATGTTGAGCAATTGTTTGGCCCACATACTGTAGATCTCATGAGTTTAGATTCTAATTGTATGAAAGATAGATATGGCAATATACTGAGACATTTTACACCATACCCAACACTTTTATCTGATGGTGTGAATGTTTTTGTTCAAAAGGTGAATGAAGAAAAAAATCTATATGTTTTTCCTCCTTTTCAAATGATATTTCCATTGTTGTCATTGCTTAAAGAACAAAATGTATAACATTGTACAATGGTTTTACCAATTTTTCAAGAAAAAACCAGTCTGGTGGCCTTTTTTAGCTGCACACTGTGTTTCACAAACAGTATTAGGAAGAAAGGGTGATGTAAGAGCACTGAAGTTACCAACATCTAAAGGTTTTATAAATGATGTGAAGGGATTGAAAAATGATTTGGGTGTCTTTAGATTACAGTTCAGATAAGGTGATATGTAGTTTTTAGTACAGAATATGTATTTTCATTTTTGTTGTTTTGTGGGATTGTTCATTTTTGTAAACAGTTTTTATTTTTCATTTTTATGTATTTTTCAGAGTTCTCATATGGAATTGGAAGACATTGATGAAAGAATACAATATTTGGATAACATTAAGAATTCAACTGCTTGTCTAAAAAAGAGGAAAAAATGTTAAGATGATGTTAGAACAATTTCTTCGGAAAATTCCCGACTCACCCACCTTCTTGTCAGTTACACCATATGACATTAAAAGATTTTAGTGTGGAAGGATAGATTTGGACAAACAACAGTTCATTCATATAAATGTAAACAATTAGGAACATTTGGGGATAGTAATTGTAAGTGTCCTAAACGGTTAGCAGCAGCATCAGTCAGAAATATTATCCAACACCTTGTAAATATATTAGAATTAGAGGGTAGAGGAAGAACTTATGATGAATATTGTGGGGTTGGGAACCCAGTTGCATCTGTTCAAATTAAGGCTTATTTAAGATGTGTTCAAGAAGAGCAAGCAAAAGCACATATTCTCCCAAAGCAGGCAAAACCATTCTTTTTAACAAAACTTGAAACAATTTCAAAGTATATCAGTAGAGAATTGGGGAGGTCTGATTTAAAATTGAAGGAAAGGTTTGTTTTCACAAGAGATCAAGCGCTATTTAAATTACAGTTTTTTGCTGGTGACAGGGCTAGTGATATAGCGATTACTTTGTTGCAAGAAGTGAAATATTTAAGAAAAAAGATGGGTTTTCATTGAATCATACATTTGGGAAAACTCTTAGGGGTAATGGAAAGACAAATACATTTATATTAAAACGCTGCCCAAATGAAAATATTTATCCAGTTAGAGGCTTGGAAATATATTTTGAAGAAGCAAAAAGAATTGGGGATAGATATGTCTTCAGGATATCTTTTTAGAATGGTGACCGAGTCAGGAAGGATTATTAATGATCCAATGTCTTACCCCTCTATATACGAACGACTGAAAGGTTATTTGATTACTCTAGGGATCTATGAGGGTGAGACAGCACTTAGCTTAAGAGCAGGATGTGCTGTGCATATGTGTTTTTCCAATGCTGCACATAATGTCCATGATCTTATGAACCATGTTGGATGGGATACAGAAAGCTATGCAAAATATTACAGTAGATATGAAACTTTGTTAGATGCATCACATACTGCTACTAGGTTAGCCCAGTCTAGTGAGCGAGGAAAAGAAATCGAAAACATGTTTAAAGAAAATGCAAATATTGATGAATTGCCATCTATTGGTGATCTTTAGCGCATTTTTGTGTTTGTGTAGTTTTTGTAAAGTGTGAGGTTACATATCGTTAACAAAATTAAAATTTTGAATAAAAAAGAAATTCAATCAAAATGTTTCTTTTTTCCGTTTTTGATCTCACATGTATTTCATACATGTGTTGAGTATTGGGAAGAGTTTAATACAAGACGTGTAAGGAAAAAGATTCAGAAGTAACGTCTAATGTGTAAAATGGAACATGATTATTCAATTACTAACTTATACCCAGTTCTTATTCAAGTGATTACAGAATATTTGAGATAGATTCAGTGAGGATGTGGAATTGTCCATGCGGGAAAAGATAAGTAAACGATGGAACGAAACAAACATATATCTCGAACACAGATTTAAACCTAGTTCAAAAGGTTCAAGGATGGATTGACTGGTTATTCGATGGAAGAAGCGTTTGATAGACCATCAAACTGAAAAGTCAGAAGCTGGACGTCATATTTGGCGACGGCCGTTTGACTAAGCGAGCAGTTAGGTAAACTTATGACCTTGGTTGGGAAATTGTTAAAGTTTCTTAAAAGAATTAATTCAGCGGTCTTTTGGAAAAGCTAATTAATATCTGAGATGGATAACTTGGTTACTAAAAGATAATTAAATACAGTGTCGAATTTATGCTTCAAACGAATTTTATCACACGCAAGATTCCATAATAAATTCACAAACACCACGAATTACGTTTTGACGTCGTCAGTTTTGCGCCGACAGCTATTTTGTAAGATTCGTTTCCCTAAAAAGAAAATGTTATTTACAGAGATATTTTATTGAAATTTTTATGCATTATTCAAAAAATGTTGATTATGGTATGCCAATTTTTAACTTTATAGCATAAGTGAAACAAAAGATATTGAAAATGTTCGCGTTTATCTGGGACAACCCTCGTATTTTTTTCCCCTTTTCATTTTTCTATTTGACAAATAGCTATCAACGACAAAAAGCATTTATTGGAGAGCAAAAACAACAAATCCATAGTTTTAAAAAAATATTGAAAATACATATGTAAGACTTAAAGATCATCTATATCAAAAAATCTTTCGCGCCAACCCTCCCACGAAACTTTAAAATAATAAAATTATCATATTATAATAATATTTATCACATTTTCAAAAGGGAAATACTGTGATTTTATTATTGGAAAAAGTGATATTCTTTCACAGTGTGAAAGGATATCAAAATGATATTCTGTCACAGTGTGAAAGGATATCAAAGTAAGTAAAAATTATTTCTGGTCTGTCATAGGATAGAGATAGTAACTAAACCATCTTGATAGAAACTAAAACTGTAAATTTCCTCCCAAATATATTGCTAAAATCCATGTCACAATTTTTCAATCTCACAATTGCTAAGCTATGACATCTCAACCGCTCAACTTGAAGTCACAGCCTATAACAGTGTGTTAGAAAAGAAAGAGGCAAAGAGAAATCAAAGAAAATGTAATAAACAGAAACTTCAATGTTTTGTAGTTGGATATGGATTTTATTTCACTCGTAAGACAGGCTTTTTTATATTTTCATTCGTGCTTCGCAGTCGTGAAAATATCAAAAAATCCTGTCCCACTCGTGAAATAAATTCCATATCCAAGAACAAAACATTGAATATTCTATATATATATATATATATATATATATATATATATATATATATATATATATATATATATATATATATATATATATATATATATATATAATAAAGTTACAGTCCTAACATTAAGAATACTATGTACTACGGAACTTTTATTTTCATGTATGAATTTAATCAATCCAGCGCTTGGATCTATTTGAAATAAATCTTCTGGGTCATTTCTACAACAACATATAGTTGTATATAATAATCAGAAAAGTCATTATAATTTGATATTTTCGATGTCCAACTATAAACAGTTTATTGCTTTCTGTACAAGACATATAATAAGCTTCTACAAATGTAAGAAAGTGAAATCCGTGGATCTTATAATATCAACATACTTTTTAAAACACTTACAAAATTGCAATCGAAAGCTTTCTCGTTATTTGGCTTATGATAATTTGAAAAACTACCTTTCCGAAAAAGGCATATGCTGGACCTATTGAGATGTTACCGTTGGTAATGTAGATCTTCTTTTTCAGACTACTACAAGTAAAATTAAGAATTTGGTGAATGAAGAACCTTTCGAATTTCTAACTTTGAAAAAAATTAATGAAAATTATTTATTCGTTTGTCCATGCCTTAAAATTATGATTCTCTATTTCTGAAAGCACCTGTTCACTGAATGCATAAATTAACTTGTTTAAAAAGTAACCATTCTCCAAAAGGTGTATGCACGGCTTTTTCACAATATTTGAAAAAAATGTGGACCTATGTTTGTGCATTTTAAATAATTACATTCAAATATAATTCACACTTTTGAGAAACACAACCTTTTTTTACACCAGGTGTTACCTTACTTACCATATCGACTTCACCTGACATTAAGGCAAAATTTCAAAGTGACACAAGTCTGGTCCTAAGCTGTAATTATTCAAAGGAACCTGGAGAAGCAATTTCAGATAGGGAAATTAAATGGCAAAAGAAAATAGGAAATAATTTCGTGGATCTAGCGGTTTTTTCCCCTCCTGGCGGAAAAGAACCATTTATTCCTCTGAACAGGACTTCAGCCCTTGCAAATAGAACGAAACTTATCGCACCAAATGTATCCTCCAGTGCTACAATGATAATAAAAGAAGTTGTCTGCAGTGATGAGGGATTGTACCAATGCTGGATAGAGTACTTTGTTAATTACGAAGAGAAACAGATGAAAAGCGTAACTTCGGTTACTTTTGAAGGTAATTTCAAGACAACTTGATAAATAAATTATATATCGAATACACTCTAAAATGTCCGTATGTTCAACATAATACTAATAAAAAAGATCTATTTTTTTTTCTTATTGAAACAGCTGAAGCAAAGAAACCAACACATTTTGTCTTTAATGGACAGAATCAATTAGAGGAGAATCAATCAATACAATTAAATTGTGCTGCTGATGTTGGAAATCCAACAGGAAGCATTAAAATTTGGAAAATTCCTGAGAAAACAAATATTCCAGAAATCGTGTATACCTCAAACTTTACAAACAATAAGACAAAGAAATGCACTACTTTTCTTGACGTAAGCATAGAATACAAAGTTTCACGAAATGACAATGGTTCAAAATTCCTTTGTTCATCACAAAATAATCTTACACAGGATCCAGGGCCAAAGAGATACTTGCAGAAAATATCGGTGCTTTGTAAGTTTATCACCATTGATCGAAATAACTCTTTCTCTAGATATGAACGAAAAACAAAGCATCCTCTTGGGCCTTTCCAGCAAGCTCGGAAAAACACCTCGGATGTAATTACATCACCGGATGTTAAAAAATCATACAAAATGGAGTCGCTTCCTATTTATTAAAGTATTGGATAGGCGCAGTTGAAAGTCCCTTTCTGTAGTATATTTCAGGTAATATATTTACATTCAATGAAGTTAAGCTCCATTCTTTATAGATAATAGGTCTCTCTAAATTTATCTCAAGGCTTATGAGAAGGGAAATTAGACGCCGCGTAACACATTCGAGGTTGTTTCTGCTTGTTGGAAAGACCTGAGAAGTTGCCATTGGAACGAAGGATTGTTCATTTGATATAGATGTTTTTAAAGTTTTGTTTTTTAAAAGACTTTTTTTTAATTTCATGTTTATTTAAAATACTATTTTAAAATCCTCTCTTCTAACTTCAACATGCATGGAACTGTAACAGAATTCTATTAATAAGTATTGTAAAACTAGACAAAGTAGTTCTTTGTGTTTTTACAATGAAGCTTCCTTTTTTTACAGATGGACCGGGGACACCAATAATTAAACGTTCACCATTCGAAACAATATACTATGCTGGTGATGATCTAAAATTGGAATGTTTTTCTGACAGTAATCCGCCCCCGCTATATAACTGGGCTTTTCAATCTACCAACAATAGTGAAGAAATATACTTCATAAGTAACAGGTCTTCAGTGATGCTGAACAACCTTCAGACCAACAGTTCTGGAAAATATCTTTGCTCTGCTTTCAATACGTTTAATGGGAAGACTCTGAATATTACATCTGTGGTATTTATATCTGTCAGAAATCAGGCCATACAAAGTAAGTTACGCCTACACCTAGTGCGTTTTTGAGAAAAATACAACTCTAATAATATGAAATAAGGATTATCAAAGCCACTGAAATAACTCTAATAAACCAATTTTACGGATATCATTGTCTACAGGGAAAAGTATCTTAGGAAGATATCCATGGCTGTCATGCCTTTTATTTTTACTATAGACACAATTAATAATTTTATTCAATTTCTATGATTTTTTTTTATTTTAAACAAAATGAGTGAGTTACTTTTTAGGTAAAAGTTACAGCTAATTTAAAAAAAAATATCTCAGTATATCAAAAAATAAATTGATAATATTTTTAAAATACATGTATCTCAATTACGTGATATATCGTATATCAAGAATGATGCCATATGGCATTTTCGAGGAAATATCGATCAGAGTAAACATGGTAAAGACGGGATCGCCACAACCCCTGACATTATAACAGAAGAAGAAATCCTGAACAACTACGTAAGTTTGGAGTGTAATTGAAACATTTCGCCTCAATTGCTGCAAATACTGAAACAATTATTTTTTCAGGGAAAACCTATCTTTGTGCATAACTTTTGGTGAAGATAGACCTTTTTGCAAGTATGTCATTGGTCACATTGTGGCGCTAGATGTTTTCCCTGAGTGATTCTAGAGACGATGATGACACTGTAAAAAGTTAACGAAGCCGACAACTACGACGCAAACAATTACTGCAACAGCGACGACAGACGACGAACGAATTTTGATCAGAACAGCTCACTTGAGCCTTCTGTTCAGGTGAGCTAAAAGGATATTTATGTAGCAATATACCATCATCACCTTCATATGGAGATTATGCCTCCCAGTGGATTCGACACGCAAGAATATGCTCTACGTAAGAACAATTTCTAAAACGAGACAAGCTATTGACAAACAAGTTGATGAAACAAGGATATCAACAGTCTCGTTTGAAGTTAATATTTCGCAAGTTCTATGGTCGATACAATGGCCTTGTCAGCAAATACAATATATCATTATTGGTGTTTTTCATACTAATTGTTAGGCCATTATTTACACCCTGAATTGTCAACGGATTTATTCCGTTTGCCCGATCATGACAAGGAACACACGGCGGGTGTGACCGGTCGACAGGGGATGCTTATTGCTCCAAGGCACCTGATCCCACCTCTGATGCTCCTAAAGGTCCGAGTTTTCGCTGCTCCCGATTTGTATTGTTTCAATAGACTTTTGAGATTGATTACTATTTATTATCTGAATATTTCATTACAGATGTTCTGTGTATCTTTATTCAATTTATATAGTTTTTATATTTTAGACAAAATAAGTTTTCAAAAGATAAAGTTGCTTTTTCACATAAAAGTTACTGCAAAGTTTTAAGTAAATATCTCATTATATAAAAAAAATTGGAAATATTTCTAAATACATGTATCACAATTACACGATACGTAGTATATCATACATCAAGAATAATGTCATATGGCATCTTCGAGGAAATATTGATCAGAGTAAACATGACAAAGACAGGAAAATCAGTTGTAAAGAAAGAAATCCGGACCATAATCCGAATTGGACCGATGCTCAGAGAAAAAGCAAGGAAAAGTTCTGAATGCACAGACTGAAATCATTCCGCCCTAATGGTATCAACAAACTAAATGACTTCACTAGGATGAACGTGAACTAGACCCAATTCCTGATTATTACAAACAAGTTTATTCTCTCTATATAGCGTTAACTTTACCGTTAATTCGCATTATCAATTCTGGAACAACCCACGCACAAATTTTTTTGGCTTACATTTTTGTCTCTTATTACTTTTATCTGATAAACAGTCCTAAAACATTTCCAAATGACATATAATATATCTAAATTATCTTTCTTTGGTTCTTTTTTATCATGTATACTTACGCTATTTTGAGAGAATAAGACAGTGTACGATTTACTGCTTGGCCGTAATTAATTGGCGATAATTAATTCGTTCAATTATGTAAATCGCACTTCACCAGAGTACACCCGAGAGACTGGACGTATTTTCATAGCGATCCGGATTTCTTTCTTTACAACTGATTATAAACTTTAAATTAAACATGTTACATTGTAAATAAATAGTGTTTGGTAGTTTAGTAGTAGTGCTAGCCGTTTTTGTTTTTCCATTTCCTTTGTTTTTATGACTTCTTAACTTTTTTCTTTGTCCTGAGGAAGGGACAGGGCGTCCCGAAAATTTGACAATTTCTATTGTTCGTTTTTGGTCATTTTTAGTGCGATATATATATATATATATATATATATATATATATATATATATATATATATATATATATATATATATATATATATATATATATATATATATATATATAGTAAATGTACCTGTATTTTGCGATGGTCCTTAAATAAAAATAACCAAACGGTAGATTTTCACTAAACTTCGCATTTAAACTGAAGTCAATGTAAGGTACATATGGTATAAAATTAAAGAGTTTCTCTGTAGTAGTTTTCACACAATAAAACCCCAGTCGGCTAACTTCATCACCAAATGTAAATCTCAATAAAAGTGTACATAAACATCCTATAAAATTAACCAATGTCTTATTTTTTTTTAAAAGATCTAATATGTAAATATTACTTTTTTATTGGAATTATTAAAAAATGTTGTCTGCAGTGTGTACCAATGTTGGATAGAGTATTTTGTCGACAATGTAGATCTATATAAGGAATGCTTTATTTCAGTTACTTATGAGGGTAATTTTTTAAATAATATAAACACATTTCCTTTGTATTTAGATAGACATAAAACAAATTGATTTGATAACATGAAATAAATTTGTGGAATTATAACACGAGAAATATATCTCCAACTTATAAGCAACATATCTTAAGTGTACGTATAGAGTAAGACAAATGTTTTAAAAATTACCAAGAAGAGAGATGTGCCTCAAATTTACTCAAAACGAGTGAAATCATTTATAAAAAAAAATCGCAAATATTGACAGATTTATGAAACGTTTTTGTTTCAATTGGCTTTGCATGTAATTGCCATTCTAAATGTCTTAGTAATTCTAACAATGAAAGAGACTGTAACCAACTCAACCTCATATTTCAAAGTCAAATGCTTTTCAAAGATATTGAACATTTATCTTTTAAAGATAAGCTGGAATCTTAAGACATGCATTTAAAAAAAAATTGAAGCGGATCAAGAATTTCTGCATAATGGGCTGAGAGTAGGGTCAAAGCTTAAAAATCAAAAAGAAAAAAGTTTAAAACATCGCCTAAAGATAAGCTGGAATCTTAAGACATGCATTTAAAAAAAAATTGAAGCGGATCAAGAATTTCTGCATAATGGGCTGAGAGTAGGGTCAAAGCTTAAAAATCAAAAAGAAAAAAGTTTAAAACATCGCCTGTGTTTATGAGTATGAGTTTTATTTGGTTCAAGGCACATGAATCTAATTCTTTACATAAATTACAGATATAACTAGGTAATTTAAAAATGGGACAAACAGGGAGCGGGATGTCCTTTTTTTATTCCTTCACTATATTTTACATACATTTAGAACATACAAGTATGTTCATTGTACGTGAAAACTTTTCGATTTGTAAATGTGCTTTACAGCATAAGCAAGTATGTGTTATCTGTTGCCATTTTGCAATTTTGTAGGCATTTATTAAGAGATATCCATTTTTATTGAAACAGTTGAAGCAACGAAACCGGTATATTTTATTATAAAAGAAGACAATGAACTTGAGGATAGTCAATCAATACACTTAATTTATGATGCTGATGCTAGAAATCCATCGGGAAACATTAAAATTAGGAAAGGTCCTGAGGCAGTAAATATTCCAGAAGTCGTGTATACATCAAATTTCACAAAAAAACAAGATAGAGGACTGTACCACTTTTCTAAATGTAAGCATATAATTAAAAGTTTCCTGATATGACGATGGTTCTGAATACAGGAAGCCCCAATCTTTCAAATGGCGACAGAACTTTTTTTCCTTTATGAATTCTGTCGAAGATAATGCCAAACGTTGTGCTAAATATGAAAAGGAAAGTCTGAACACTTTGTCAGAATGGATTAAGTGTTTTAGAAATATATTAAAGATTCGTATTGGAAAATTAAAAGGCAAAATGCGAACCATCTACCCTTCCGTTTTTACTAAACCGGAAGTGATGAAATAGTAAGAGGGACTATACGAAAAATATGTTATGGTTCCAGCAGACATGGCTGGTAACAATATCGTCTTTGTTTGTAAGGCTCATTATTATAATTGTATTTTTGGAAGAACTTGATTTTAATTTTACGTCTGGAAATCCTACATATACTCATAGCTCACTTTCCAAATAAGAAATTCTTCAAAGTCATATTTCGGTGTTTAATACTTTTATTATACCAGTCAGCCAAGGTAAGTTCGATCTACCTTACGTGTACTGGATTCCTAAGCATCATAAAAATCTTTACAAACAAGGACACATTGCTGGGTCCAGCAAATGCTCTACCAAGCCCTTATCTTATCCCCTTACAAAATATTAAGTTCTTAAAGGAGAAACGTACTGTGCTACAGCTTATTGTAGAAGTGGTGTAAATCAGATGTAGATCCTCAAAAAGTCGAAAAAAAAAACTTATAGAGACTTATCTAAACTTTAAAATCACAAAATTTTTCAAAAGTCTATAACATCAAAACTTACGACTTTTCTACACTTTATACAACAATTCCTCACGACAAATTAAAATGTAGCCTTTTTGTTATCATAGACAACTGCTTTTTAAATAAAATCGGAACTCGAACATTTTCACATCTTGTGATTGGTCATCAGCACTCTGATTGTACACACAAGTACTCTGAAGCTGATATTAAAAGGATGTTGGAGTTGCTCGAGCTCATTGATTGATTGATTGTTGTTTTACCTTCCGTTCGAGAATTTTTCACTCATATAGAGACATCACCATATACCAGTGAAGAGCTTCAAATTTAGACTTTTACTCGGCAGTGAGGGTTCTTTATCGTGCCAACGCCTACCGGGGCCTCGATTTTTAAGGTCTCATCCGAAAGACCTGAAACTTTTACTTCAAAGTGCCGAGCGCTTGGCGAAGGAAGAGTTACTACCTATATTTTTTATCGACTTAGGTCAATCGCGGCCGTGATTCGAACACACTACGTTCCGATCAGGGAGCGAGCACTCTACAGACTGAGTTACCGTGACGGTATGGAGTTCCTCATAGACAACACTTATGTAATCTTCGGAGACCAAATTTTCAAATTAAACTGTTAGAATTTCGATGGGCACTAATTGTGCTCCTTTTAGCTGACCTGTTTTTCTATTCCTATGAAGCAGAATTTATCCAAAAAAACTTCTACACGAGAAGAGGAAAACACTAGCTGTGGCCTTCATTCGGCATTCAGATTTATCGACGATGTTTTTTCAATTAACAATAGTTATTTTCATTCCTATGTCGACTCGATATATCCCATTGAACTTGAAATAAAAGACACCACAGAGTCTTCCACATCTGTTTCATATTTAGATATTTTTACTGAATCTAGACGATAAAGGCCAATTAACCACTAATTTGTATGACAAACGAGATGACTTTAGCTTTTCCATCGTCAACATTCCTTATTTACATGTATGTAGTACTATTTCACTATCACCTGCTTATGGTGATTATGTCTCCCAATTTATTCGCTACTCAAGAGCTTGCTCTGAGTACGATCAATTTTTAGAGAGAGGCAGACTACACACTGATAAGTTGACGTTACAGGGATTTCAACAGACTCGTTTGAAGTCAGCATTTCGTAAATTTTATGGCCGTTATAATGACCTCGTTGGCAAATACGAGGGCTTTTCGGAAATTGTTGAGACATTTACTTTTACTCCATAAAGGACAGAGCTGAATTCATGAAAATTCGTCAACATTTTATAAAGAACGAATACAACAAATGTGCAAAATTTCTAATTTATAGGATAATTAGACAAGTTTCGATGAAATTAATTATAAACATGCATAAGTCTATCGACCTGGAGCAGCATCGTTTGTTTGTTTGTGTGTTGTTTAACGTCCCTCTCGAGAATTTTTCACTCATATGGAGACACCACCACTTGCCGATGGAGAGCTACAAATTTTGACCTATACTCGGCACTCAGGGCCATTGAGAAGTGAGGGATCTTTTTCGTGTCTGCACCTACTGCGACACTTCGGTTTATACGGTCTCATCCGAAGGACCGGTCTCCACGTCCCGCAGTGGGATTCGAACCCGCGACGTAAGGATCAACTCCTTACTCCGCAACTCTAGAGCAGACGCTCTAACCACTGCGCCACGCGGGCGACCTGGAGCAAAAAGGCTACATTTTAACGTCACGTGCCGTGTGCTCCTTGTCATGATCGGGAAATAACGGAAAAATCCGTCGACAATTCAGGCCTAGCAATTGGTATGAAAAAAATCAGTCAGCATTTGACTTAATGATAGATTGTATTTGCTGACAAGGTCATTGTATCGACCATAGAACTTACGAAATGATGACTTTAAATGAGACTTGTCTATTAATAACTTACCTCGTTTTGGAAATTGTTCATATGTTTTTTTTTTCCTCACTGTTGTTTTAGCAGGTCGTTTAATCTGAAAAAGCGTTCTCCATAGCGCTACACAAAATTTTATGTATGCTCGATGCGTCGCCTTGAGGTCAGAATCCATTTTGTCGTTCGTTATTAGATTTCTATACCGTGTTTAAATTTATTTATGATCTCCGTATTTTTGATCAAAATTCTAACAAACTTGCACAAAATGAAGTCAAAATTATATTGCAAAAGTATATACATAAATTGAAATATTTTCGGTCTTACCATGGGTTCACCAGAAGTGTGAACGTTGGTATTACATATTTTCAAAATCTTATTTCGTGACTGCGCCAGGTGCCCCTACCATTGACACATTAATATATCATTGAAAAGAAGAAATAAAATATTTGTAAAATATTTTTGCTTTTATTAATTCTTAGTGTTTGTAAAACGTATATGCAAATTTTCAGCGAAAGACGTTCATTAAAAAGAGGAATATACACAATGTCTCAATAATTTCCGAACAGCCCTCGAATAACCTATCATTGTGTCGTATTTCGGCTCGTATTAGGGCTCACGGCGAGTGTGACCAGTCAACAGGGAATGTTTACTCCTCCTAGGTACCTGATCCCACCTCTGGAATTTCCAGGGGTCCATGTTTTATGCCCTCGTCACATATTTGTATTGTTTGTGGATTTTTTTTTTAGATCGATCACTGTTCGTTATCTTTAGTTTTTACATTCCAAGTACCTTTGTTCATCACAAAATAAACTTACACAGAAACCAGGACCAGAGATATATTCGCAAAGAATATCAGTGCTTTGTAAGTCTACCATAATTGAAGAACTCTTTTCCTACATAATAACGGAGAATATTGTTGTTCATTCAATGTATAATAAATTAATGTTTGTCTTTGCTACTAACTTTAAAAAATATATATAAAAAAAATTCTTTAATTTTACATTTTTTCGATTGTTATTTTAACACTCCTCATGTCTAAACAAAAATAATTCTGTTATCGCCATCCATTTATTAGATTGACAAGACCAGGCATATTAGTTTATGCTTCTTTTTCTTTTTTTAATTGTAACCTTATTTATTTTTAGATGGACCAGACACTCCAGTCATTGAACTGTCAATGTATAATGTTGGAGACGATCTAAAACTGGACTGTTTTTCTGCCAGTAATCCGCCCCAATATATCCCAGCATGGGTTTTTCATTCAGCAAACTATTATGAAGACGTACAAAGAATATTCTTCACCAGTAATGGGTCCTTAATGAACTTGAGCAACCTTCAGACCAACAGTTCTAGAAAATATAGGTTGCTTTGCAGTCAACAGGATCAATGGGAAGTTTCTAAATGTTACATCTGTTATATCTATATCTGTCAAAAATCCGGCCATACAACATAAGTAAGGGCTACCAAAAATGCATTTTTGAGAGAAATACACTTTCAATTATTCCTTTAAGGATTATCAAAGTCACTGAAATAACCCTGATCACCCATTTTACGGATATATTGTCTACGGAGAAGAAGTACCCTAAGACGATGTGCATTGCTGCCAGGTCTTTTATTTTCACCATCGACACAACTGTTCTCTGTAGTTTTCTTTCATTTATATGATTTTTTATTTTCAACAAAATGAGTTGTCAAAAGACAAGGTTACTTTTTGGTAAAAATTACCGCGAAGTCTAAAAAAACCTCATTATATCAAAGAAAACTTGAGAATATTTCTAAATGCGTGTATCACAATTACATGATATATCATACATCAAGAATAATGCCATATGGCATCTTCGAGGAAATATCGATCAGAGTAAACATGATCAAAACGGGAACATCAAAACCCCTGACAAAGACGGGAAAATCAAAACTCCTGGCATTATTACAGAAGAAGCAATCCAGAAGAACTACGTGTTTTGAATGTAATTCAAAACATACAGTTTTAAGTACAATACTGAAACTCAAATACTGAAAACACGTTTTTCTTTCAGAGAAAACCTATATTTATGCATAACTGTTAGTGAAGATGGAGCTTTTTGTAAGCAAGTCATTGGTCACTCATGTTGAAAAACGCCACAAGATGCTTTTCCTTACTGATTCTGGAGACGAAAATGAAATTACAAAAAGTTAACGACGACAACGACGAAAGACAACGGATAAAATTTTTATCAGAAAATCTCACTTGAGCCTTCGGCTCAGGTGAGCTAAAAAGGCTCACGGAAGGGCTATGTAATCACACAAAACTCCTGTCAAGGTTCTTGAAATATTTATTTCACAGTGGAGTGACATGGAATCATAATTATTATTAGAGCCCTGAAAAAATCATACAACAACAATAAATATAACGTAAATATATCACATATCACATAATGTTCTTTTTTTTTTACATGAAAATAATATTTGGATTATCATCGTTTATATTTTACACATTATTATCGAAGGAAGATAACTCTCGAATAATAAATCTTTACATATCTCTACCATAATGAGGGGAAAAAACTCTAAACCAGTAAAGAAACCCAATACGACCTTTCAAATCAATGACCAATAAAAACTAAAATAACAGTGTCCACTTCAAAAACCTAACCATTTCCCTTAGGTATACAGGCACGGATCCAGGATTTTTTCCAAAGGGGGGGGGGGGGGGGCGGGGTTCCACCGTAGTAAAAAAAATTCCAATCCAAAAAAAAGACTCAACTCTTTTCCCAAACGTATCAAACCCAGAAAATTTCTTGACAAGCAAAATGAAAAAAACAAAACAGACAAAAAACAAAAAAAAAAACTCCATACCCGCACGTAAAAAATACCAGGTTTTCTAGGGGTGTCCACAGTCATTTTTTATTTGCTTCAGTATATACTTTTAATGACTTTGCAAATTCCAGGGGGGTCTGGACCCCGCTCCCCCCCCCCCCTTCCCTAGATCCGCGCATGGGTATATATAAGTATGTACAAGTAAGGGATAACTAAGGGATGGATCTAGTTTTTGAATAACAAATTTAAATAAAAGTTAAAATTTATATTCAGACAAGTTCTATAACTTTATTTTATACAAATCCAACACTATTACACTTCTTATGGCATTTCAAACATATAAGGTTTGTTCTCTAACCTCTTATCGATAAAATCTAGTTTATATCGCGTATATTTTAGTAAGGTTATAGTAAATAACTGATCAGCCACTGACGCTTATCACAGTAACGTGATCAAATATCTTATTAACTCGTATTTTAATTCAGGGATTTTATTTGAGTGAAATAATGTTATATATAATGTAATAATAATGTAAAATATATGTCCGCACTAAAACTGGAATTTTGAAAAAGTCAAGAGCTTCCTTAATTGAATCTTAATGAGCAAATCCAAAATATATCCTGGTGGTATCTGTCACAAGCTTTACGGTGAATTTTGATTGGTTTTTCCTTAATACTCCGATTGTTATAGATGGGTACCCACAAATAAAATATTATCTAAGATCACTTTCTCTGCACTTTTTGTATTCAAGTATCTATCCAGTAATTGCTCGCTTTAGTTTTTTTAGCCATATTCATATTTGTCAATTAATGTGTAGCAAGAAAAAAACCATAAAAAATGAAAATGACTCTCAGATTTAGATTCAGAACTCTTTGAAAAATATGAATGTTAAGTTTTTTTTTAAGTAAGGGTGACTTTTTCTCTAGTTATGTCCCTCTTACCATTATACTATTCATCCGTCCTTGATACCTATAATGCAAAAAAATATAGAAAAATCACAAACATTCAACTGGGCAGAAGGGTTTATTTGCTTCTGTTCGATTTGTATAAATCTAAAATAAAAACCTTCCATTCGATTGATTGATTGATTGTATATTGTTTTAATTTAATTTTTCACTCATATAGAGACGTAACCATATACCGGTGAAGGGCTTCAAATTTAGTCCTTCACTCAGCACGGCAGGACCATTGAGCGGTGAGGGATCTTTATCGTGCCAGGCCTGCCGTGACACGGGACCTCGGTTTTTTAAGGTCTCATCCGAAGGACCCGCAACTTTCACTTCAAAGTGCCGAGCGCACGGCGAAGGAACAGTTGCTACCTATCTTTTATCGGTCGTGGCCGAGATTCGAACTCACGTACGACCTTCCGATCACGGAGCGAGCGCTCTACCGACTGAGCTACCGTGACGGTTCTTACATTCGAATAGGAAATCTAAAAGTAAGAGTCGTATTACAATTGACAGTGCCATTTCAGTCTGATTAGTTGCATACAGTTGTATTTTTTAAAATATACACCAATGTTGAACATGTATATCTAGGTATCAGGCGTTTTATTACAGACAAATTGATGAACACAGTTTCAGCAAATTTCATGAATTATTACAATTGAAAGATTTCAAATAACCACAAGTGAGAACATTTAAATGGATAGCGCCATTTTGTGTCATTTGACACTTGTTTTTTCATATGTTGTTATTTTCTTTGTTTTGTATTGTTTCAGTTCTATTGCATACAACCTTTTATTTTCAGAAACACCGTAACTTTTGGTGAAAGAAAAAATAAATGTACATGCAAAGTAAATTCTGTATTTGAGCTTACACAAAATTACAAACCATTTTACTATATAATTGGGATTGTTAAGAAAGATACCAGCCAATGCAAATGTTTTGAGTAATCCAGCGAATTCATGAATTGACTAAAAATATTTTGAAACATGTTTTGAATTATATTTTTGTCAATTTTTTGCATTAAATATTACATTCAATGTGCAAATAGCTATTAAATTCAGGCCTTCTTTTATTATAAGATTGCATTTAAAAACTCACATATCTTTTTACTGTATGAGATCTGTGGAGTGCATGAGGTTGTCATGAAAAATAAGAATTTTCATACAATGCTCAAATTTATCAAATCTATCAGGAATGTGATATTTTCTAGTAGATTTACCATGACAATATTAGTATAAAGCGTATATTTCTATCTATCAAGAATGTAAGTTACCTCTTCCTCTAATGTAGAACCTGTAAAAATTGATATGAGGTCATTAGGTTCTTCAATCCTCATTTTGAATATTGCCTGAAAAGGCTACACCAGAAATATGTTTCCTCTATCACATATTTTCCGTTATAAATATAACACTTCCTCGCGCTAATCACTTGCGGTACCTTCACAAATCTTCAAATTTCTGTATTTTTTTTTCTAGTTTTGCTTTTTAAATCGCAAAAGGTAAGTGACCTATCTATGAACTTTCAGCAATATTAATATAAACATATCCATTCCTTAAGAACATTTTGGAAAGGTTATTTTTTGTTCAGTTTAATCCCTTAAGTGATGTAAAGTGAGTAAATATCAAGTCTAGTTTACATTAGTTGTTTAATATGGAGTCGTTAGGAATTGTAAACCACGAGGCTCAGGGCATAATTCCTCGCTGTGGTTTAGTATTCAATATAGTAAGACCGTTGACCCCTTTTATACGTTCCATATCTCTCTTCAAAGCATTTTCTTTGCTTAAAATGTTATATGACAATTTTCAAAGAAATTATTATAAATTGATTAAAATTCTTAAATACCCAGTATTTAAATTCTTAAATACTCTTCATGCAAAAAAAGGAAGATATAAGATCACGAACTGGCACTAATTTGTGATTTACTATGATTAGTGTCATTGACCTTGAATAGTAGCATTTAGCATTGTGTTCAGAAAATTATATATTAGCAAAATAATTCAAATGATTATTAAATCAATTACATCATTTATGTTATCATTACTGGTGATAAAGGTTTTCCTTGATATACTCTAAATGAAACATGGAATGATATTCAATACATTGATGGCTTTGATAATGTAAAAGGTAAAGATAAAGAACAGTAATCGATCTCAAAAAATTCACAAACAATGGATATATGTGAAAGGAATGTCTATTTTTTTAAACATGATCAATACGCTCAAGTAATAATTTGCATAAACGCTAAAGACATCTAAACACATAAGAGGTGGGATCAGCTTCAATGGAGAAGTAAGCATCCCCTGTTGACCGGTCACATCCGCCGTGTGTTCCTTTCATGATTGGGTAAACGGATAAATACGTAGACAATTCAGTGTAATTAAAATGGCCTACATTCGCGGATATAGAGGGGGAGTCGGGGGGAATCCTATCCCCCCTCGGAATTTGTAGAGTTATTAAAA